ATATCCATGGTTTCGATTTGCAGAAATTTACTCACAATATTGATAGCATGCAACAACCTGTACCAGACTACCATGCCAAACAATAACTCAAAATTCTGAAATTCATGTGTTGCTAACGACTCAACTTCACTCTTCACTTTAAGATCTTCATTACTTTCTATCAAATCAAGTAATGCATCTCTTATCTGTGCAGTTTGCTGCATTATAGGCTTCACACTCTCAACATGACTTTTTCAACGTGTTTGTGACAATGGCTTCACTGTCAACCTCTGTAGATTATCTTTGAAAAATTTTCATCGCTTGGTAGAATAGGAAAACAATGTGTAGATATGTTGTATCACTTCGAAGAAGGATACAGCTTTGGAACAACAATTCACTATATCACATAATGTTAGATTTAGACTATGAGCACCACATGGAGTATAGAAAGCTTGGGGATTCATTTCATGTATTTTTTTTGTACACCTTTGTGCTTCCCGCTCATGTTAGATTCGTTGTCATATCCTTGCCCTCTAATGTCATCAATATCCAGATTCAGTTCTATCAAAACCTTTAGAAGCTCGATTGCAAGTCCAAGTCCTGTTGTGTCATCTACATTCAAAAATTCAAGCCAACGTTCTTCAACTGTAGGTAAGTTTACCGAATAATCTACAAATCGTACAATTAAAGACATTTGCTCCTCGTAACTTGCATCTGGAGTACAATCAATTATAACTGCAAAATATTTTGCATGTTTAACTTTCTTGACAATTGAACTTCCCACCTAATTAGCCAAGAACTATATCAACTCATTCTGGTTTTTTTTCTTCCAATATACGTATATTGAATCTCTCTTTCTTTAGCCCGTCAAAGGTGCTCTTACATTACTGGATCAAACTCACTAACCATTTCCACCATTTGTAAAAACATGCCATTGTTCTCAACATGTAGCCTCTCATCATCTCCTCGAAATGACAAAGTGTTTTTCGTGAGTCTTTTCACAATAACGATTATCCTTGTTGATCTGTGTCTTCAATGTTCTCTTTCTACATTTATCAACAATTCAACCTTTGTCCATTTGGTAGCAATCACTTATATTGTGAAGAATCAAAATGTCGATTTGTATAGTCTCTCGAAAACGAGATGTCATCAACTCTTCTTAGACCCCTTTCAACTAAGTAATCCTTTGTTCTTTGATCAATGATTTTCCAATTCTCGAGATTATCCAAATTTAGAGAAAAGCAACCCTCTTCTTCCTTATCATCTTCTTCATTATTAGAGGCGAATTTCATCACTTCTTTTTCCTTATCATCTACTTCATTAACGTAGGCAGGGTAACTCACTTCTTCATCCTTATCATTTACTTCATTAACATGGGCATGTTGAATCTCTACTTCATCCTCATTCAACGCATTCACATTGTTGGTTTTGAAGAACTTGTTGATATACCCTGCTTGACTTTGAATTAATGCAATATCATTTCTTATCATTTCCCTCTTTTGAGTACCAGACTCATATTTAGGAAGCATAGTGTAGGAGTGTATATCTAATGTCCAATGATTAATCTAAAAAATAATTACAAAATATCTCAATCATCTCACAATTATAGTTTCTAATATAGTTACTATGTACGCCTGTGCAATTATTCCTCCTACAATAAGCAATCATATAAGCCGATCAGGCCGCAATTATATAAGCCGACAAGGCTTCAAACATTTCCAATCTCTTCAATAACAATTTAGGGCAAGTCATTGCTTACCTGAGAAGTGAAATTTTGACGAAAATTGTAGAATTACACCCTTAGGAATGATCCCATTTTCTGAATTGGTGGTAAGTTGATCGCAATTTTAAAAAAATTTTGGATTGTGTCAACGATACTCTAACATAGTAAAAAGAAACATGTAAGGTAATAACAAGCATATGATGAATTAAAATGAAGGAAATAACTATAACACTTCAGTTTCGTTAAAACATGTGATGATTACTTGGCT